AGTTGGAAAAAATAAACATGCATTTAGTATAGTGGTCTACCGATATATCGGCTGATATTTGGCATTTTATTAATCATTCTGTTTGGCTGATATGTATTTCATATTCATATATTTACTTTAAAAAGTGGTAACCTGCAATCATTTCCTTAAAGAGCTGTTTTTACTTGATTTAACCCATTAAAAATAATTAAGTTGGTATAAATATAAACTTAGTCTTTATTTGAGAAAATATGATTCCCAGTGCATATAGACTGATTACTGTTGGTTACAGTGTTTACTTCCTTTTTATTCATATATGTTTACTTAAAAAAATACTTACGTAGGATTACAAAATCACGAATTAATTTTACAGATTTATTATTATCATTTTTATTTATATAGGCCTATATATTATTAATATAATATTATTTTGTGTATTTTACCTAATTATATATTAAATATATAAGTATTTATTTCTAATTTACTAAAAATAAATAAAATTTTAGCAAATGTTTTAAAATCAAAAACGCGATATCAAAAAAATCTAAATTAACAGGTATTTTTAAGTAAAAAAAAAATGATTTATTATTGCTGAACCAACCTAAATACATTAATTTATACAAACAAAACACATTTTTATGGGTTAAAGCGAGTAAAAACACAACAATCACAGGTATATATCGGCTTTAAATCGGGCATCAGCTCTTATAGATATGCATCTACAATCAAAAAATATCAGTCCACTGTACACTGTAAAACTACATGTACTTACTATAGGGTTAGGGTTAGTGTTTGGTTTATTTTAGGGTAAGTTGCATGTAATTATGCATCATTTATAGTTATTAGTATAGTAACTACATGTAACATATGTTAAAGTGTTACCAAAATTAGTATTGATCCCAACAGTTACATTTAGTTAAAGTATATTAAAGTTATATTTATATGAAATGGTACAACCCAATTCCCAGGTCATAACTCACCACCATGACTGTGCATCCCTCTCACTCCCGCCTCCATCTTGTACATGTGATCCGAGGGATGATGGCTCTTCTCAGCTCCCGGGTCCAGTTCACCCTGACCCGGCTTCAGGCTCTTCCGTCTCCGAGGCTGGTACTTATAATCCGGATAGTCTTTCTTGTGCTGGACTCGCAGTCTCTCGGCCTCTTCCACAAACGGCCTCTTCTCGCTCTCGGAGAGCAGCCTGGACAATCCGGGGAAAAGAGCTTTTCAATATTAAAGCAATTGTGTGCGAAAGCGTTTCAGAAACCAAAGGTCCGGATTGAGATGTTAGCTGGTTTCTAAGCTGGTGCAGATGTTCTTGGTCCAGCTAAAAAACAGATGGTTTACAAGCAGCTCCACATTTATTCCTTTAAGCTAACTCAGTTTCACCAGCAGCTTCTGTCGTTAATACGAGCACTTTTCCCCAACAGTGACTAGTACACTTTCGATTAGCCTCGAGTGCTTTCAGTGACTCTTTACAAGGACAAGTAACACAATGTCTTTGTTACACATTACATGTAGTTACCATAGTAATAACTATAAATTATGTTTAATTACATGCAAATAACCCTCAACCAAACCCTAATCCGACCCTTGTAAGCACATGTAGTTTATTATTTATTATTATTATTCGGTACTTTAATTAATGTACAATTACACTGTAACTGTAAGTGTAAGTGCTGAGTAATATTAATTAACAACATGTACTTACTATTGAGTTAGGGTCAGTTACTTTTAATTATGCATCATTTCGTGTTATTATAGTCTGTAGTAACGTGTAACTACGTCACTTTAAAATAAAGTTTTAAAGTCCAGTTTTACTAACCAGATAATTATTATTAAATATCTGGTCCTGTATGAGAAATTAGGGTTACACTTTATTTTAAGGTGTCTATGTTACACTGTACACATTTCTACTTATTATAGGGTTAGGGTTGGTGGTTGGTTCAGGGTTAGTTGCATGTATTAACTGAAATCGGCCATTGATAGTCACGTATGTTCTCTTTGTTGATGTTGTTGTTTTTTTGTTGTGATGTCAGTGATTTTTTTTTATTGATATGTCGATAAATTTACCATGTTATGTGTGTTTGTGTTATGTACGCATCTAAGGTGGAAACAAATTTTGGACAAGAGGACAAATAAAAATCTATCTATCTATCTATCTATCTATCTATCTATCTATCTATCTATCTATCTATCTATCTATCTATCTATCTATCTATCTACCTATCTATCTATCTATCTATCTACAGTATCTATCTATCTATCTATCTATCTATCTATCTATCTATCTACAGTATCTATCTATCTACAGTATCTATCTATCTATCTATCTATCTATCTATCTATCTATCTATCTATCTATCTATCTATCTATCTATCTATCTATAGTATCTATCTATCTATCTATCTACAGTATCTATCTATCTATCTATCTATCTATCTATCTATCTATCTATCTATCTATCTATCTACAGTATCTATCTATCTATCTATCTATCTATCTATCTATCTATCTATCTATCTATCTATCTATCTATCTATCTATCTACAGTATCTATCTATCTATCTATCTACAGTATCTATCTATCTATCTATCTATCTATCTATCTATCTATCTACAGTATCTATCTATCTATCTATCTATCTATCTATCTATCTATCTATCTATCTATCTATCTATCTATCTACAGTATCTATCTATCTATCTATCTACCTATCTATCTATCTATCTACAGTATCTATCTATCTATCTATCTATCTATCTATCTATCTATCTATCTATCTATCTATCTATCTACAGTATCTATCTATCTATCTATCTATATATCTATCTATCTATAGTATCTATCTATCTATCTATCTATCTATCTACAGTATCTATCTATCTATCTATCTATCTATCTATCTATCTATCTATCTATCTATCTATCTATCTACAGTATCTATCTATCTACAGTATCTATCTATCTATCTATCTACTGTATCTATCTATCTATCTACAGTATCTATCTATCTATCTATCTATATATCTATCTATCTACAGTATCTATCTATCTATTTATCTATCTATCTATCTATCTATCTATCTATCTATCTATCTATCTATCTATCTCTCTATCTATCTATATATCTATCTATCTACAGTATCTATCTATCTATCTATCTATCTATCTATCTATCCATCTATCTATCTATCTATCTATCTATCTATCTATCTATCTATCTATCTATCTATCTATCTATCTATCTATCTATCTATCTATCTTAATTTAGCTATTACCATTGAGGATAGGCTACTAGTAACAAGTATTTTAAGGAGTGCATGCCATGCACGAGCCGATACTAATGCTGTAGTTTAATAACTCTTTGTGTAAGTAGGCCTACATAATGAGCATAATGTAATATAAAATGTGACCCGTGCACGAACCTCCATAACTTGCCCAGGGTCTTGCTGAGCTCGGCGTTGTGCAGATGCGGGTATTGATCCGCGAGCTTCCTGCGCGCCGCCTGTGCCCACACCATAAACGCGTTCATGGGTCTCTTCACGTGCGGCTTGTCCTTCAGAGACCGGATTCCCTGCATCGGCATCGGCACCAGGGACCAGTCGTAGCCTTTGAGGACCTGCGACACGGCATCTCGAATACACGGTGGGAAGCGCGCGTCTTCCTCGCTGTCCGCGCGCTCGCCGGTGCTGGTTCGCGCGCCTTGTTCATCGGACACGGATGGAGAAGACGGTGAATCAGAGTCTGCATCTCCAATAAAAGAGCTTTCAGTCCCAGAACTAGTTTTATCCGGCTCCTTTGACATTTTAAAAAATCCTCTCTGACCGGAAGATGCGCAATAACACGAGCGTAACTTTACGCGCAGCGCGCGCGCGTTAGGTATCCCAGATAAACCGATTGATTTCTTGGTTTCTCGAATCTGCGTCGATCAACACTGGCGGAGGAATTGGCAATATTTCACAACTTGTTGGTGTGTGAGGGAGAAGTTTTTGTGAGGCTTCTGTACTCTCGCGCTCCTCCTTCTCTCCTCTCATTGGCGGAGAAGCTTTTGCGCAACTTCTCCAATTGGTCAGTGCAGTGCATCAGCAACTTTTTCAGTTAATTGAACATAATTGACTAACAAATTACACCGTAATGCCATAACTGCTCATGGGTTCCCTGAATAATCCAATTTTCGCCCACTGTATTTTATGAAAACACTTGCAGGCTAACTTAATAAACCTGACTCGAATAAAACACAAAATATATTAACTATGTTTTTCCATAATTCACTGCACAAATCATTTTTATATTTTTGATATAGCTGTTGTGTAAACAACAAGTGAACACAATAAAACAACACATAAGGAAGATTTGAACTCAAAGTTTGAAGTTTGTTTATTTGTGATGAAGTTGTTTTAAATGTTAAATACAAGCTATTAAGTACAATATTTAAACAACATATTTACTAAGTTGTACTGTAAAGTTTAATGTAATGGCATATTTCTTTTTTGACAACCCCGCATTGTGTGACAACATAACTCGATAAAGGTCAACATACATTAAAAACATTTTTTTTTCTTCTTCTAGGCAATAAGGATGGAAATTTAATGTGCAATAGCTTTTTGTAGCCAATACACTCCAGTTTGTGCTTACACACACACACACACACACACACACACACACACACACACACACACACACACACACACACACACACACACACACACACACACACACACACACACACACACTTAAGTTAGATGCGATTAATCGGCCGTGTTATAAACATCAATTTAGAACTTTTTAAAACAATTTTTTATAAACTTTCATTTTAGATTTAAAACTTTAGATTTAAAACTTTTACCACCTGGACTATGGAATAGTTATTTAGCTCTTGTCACACGGTGAACAGTTTTTACTTAAATAATTATTTACCAAGAGTAGAACAGCCTAAACAAACTTTATAGAAGCTCAGTCTGAAGGTTGTGTTGGCAGAGGCGCATTGTCCTCTGATTGGCCAGTCCACTGCGCGTGATTTCTTACGCATGCGCAGAACATCTCGAAAACATGGCGTCCTCCAGTGAGAACCCTGAGAACACCGAAAGTTTCCTAAGAAAGCGACGTGGAAACCCGCTCGTTCCAGACAGTCTTTCACACGACAGATGCAGCGAGACAGCGCCAGACGAAGACGCTAACAAATATGAGAAGAAAGTGTGTGTATCGACACAGACCGGGACCTACTGGCTCACGCGCATCGCGCTCCTGCGAGCCATTGCTTTCATCTACTGTGAGTCTGACAGGTGGCGACTCTACAGGAGGCGGTTGCTAGGAGACCAGACACAATTAGTTACATCACTTAGTTGCAATTACTGATCTGTGCACTAGATATAAGCAGTGTTGTGTGTATTAACTCATTACAAGTAACTTGAGTTACGGTATCAGATTACTTTTTCAAGTAACTAGTAAAGTAACGCATTACTTTTTCGAGTTACTTTTTCAAACAAGTAACGCAAGTTACTTTGATTTCCCAGTTATTGACTGACAGCTCTCCTGTCCCCATGTTGAGACAAAGTGCAGAGGCGTTGTGTGTAAACATGATGGTTATTGTAGTTCTAGACTAAATGTGAGAGTGCATTTACTCATCTCACTTGCACACAAAAAAAGATTCAAGATTCCTCAAAGTGAATAAAATCAGTGAAATGCAGAATCTGATTACTATGCAAACCCCTAATAACTAAATATGTTAAATAAAACATACATTTTTATGCATTTAATCTCACTTTATTGACCAATGTACTTGCTTCTGACCTTCGATGATTCAATTAAACCAATTTTTTTAACCAATTAAAATAAAGTAAAGTAAAGTAAAGTAACTTATTCTTCTGTTATTCAGAACAGCAACACAGCTGAAAGGTTTGCTCGTGAATGTGCATTTCCTCCAGCCTGAGGCTTATTATTTCACTTTAGGTGTGAAAGGGTCTTTACATTTGCCCAAAAAATATAACTTTTTTGTTATAAAAAATGTAACGCAAAAGTAACGTAACGCATTACGTTAAAAAACTACCTAAGTAACGCAATTAGTTACTTTTTAAGGGAGTAACACAGTATTATATGCATTACTTTTCAAAGTAACTTTCCCCAACACTGGATATAAGTTTAAAGTTTAATAAATCATATGCTTTCTAGTGGTTGCTTTCACTGTGGCTTACAACCAGA